GCGTCAGACGCTTCTTCGGTGACCTCCTCCTTGAGGGCGGCGAGCTCCCCGGAGGCAATGATTGTTGCGGCATGACCACAGCACTCGACCTCGCACTCATAGGCGCGCTAGAAGGAGGTGCCAACGGTGATGACCCCACGGGGGCCTAGTATTTTTAGCTTGAGATATGTATAGTTGGGGACAGCCATGAACTTTGCATAGCATGGACGTCCCAGGATGGCGTGGAAAGTTCCAGGGAACCCAACCACCTCGAAGGTGAGGGTTAAGGTCCTGTAATTGAACTGATCCCCAAAGGTAATGGGCAGATCGATCTGCCCAAGTGGCATGGCCTGCTTTTCGGGCATGATGTCGTGGAAAGGTGCTCGGGTTGGGCGTAGGGCGTGTCCGGTCGATGCCCATCTTGTCGAGCGTCTTGGCATACATGATGTTGAGGCCGCTTCCTCCATCCATCAATACTTTGGTAAGCCGCTTTGGGCCGACGATCGGGTCGACCACGAGCGGATATCTCCTCGGATGCGGGACGCTCTTCGAATGGTCAGTCCGATCGAAGGTTATGGCGGACACTGACCACCGGAGGAAGGGAGGTGTGGCCGGTTCGGCCATATAGACCTCGCAGCGCGCGACCTTCTGACGACGTTTGGAGTCGTAGGCCGCTGATCCTCCAAAGATCACAAGGCAATCATCCGACGTCAGAAAGCCATCATCCTTCTCCTCAGCGTCGTCCGCGGTGGGGGCAGGGACCTTTCCGTGCTCCCCTTTGTTGGAGCCTCCGGACAAGAACCGCCGCATGAGGTTGCAGCCCTTGAACAGATGCTTAACCGAGAAGGCATGGTTCGGTCAGGGCCCCTCGAGTAATTTTTCAAAATGGTTCAGAGTGCCCTCGGTGGGCTTCCAACCACCCTTGCGGTCAGCAGCGGCCACGAGCGAGTCCTCACGCCGTTGCTTCTTATTCTTCCTTTTGGCAGAACGATTGGAAGCGCCTTCACCGGCACCCTCGTCCCGCCTTGCCTTGCCATCGAGACGATCGAAGATTGCTCCGACCGCCTCTTCTCCTGAGGCATGGTTGGTGGTGATGTCTAGGAGTTCCTTAGTGGTTCACGGGCCCTTGTGTCCCATCTTATGAACCAAAGACTCGCAGGTAGTCCTGGGTAGGAAAGCCTATATAACATCGTCGTCGGCGACGTTAGGTAGCTCGTTGCACTATCGGAAGAAGCACCGGATGTACCCACGGAGGGTCTCACCGGCCTTCTGACGGCAGTTTTTGAGGTCCCATGGGTTCCTAGGGCACTTGTATGTGCACTGGAAGTTCCCCACAAAGATCTCCTTCAGGTCCGCCCAACTCTGGATTCTGTTGAATGGCAGGTGTTCCAACCACGCTCATGCCGAATCGGCTAAGAACAGTGGAAGGTCGCGGATAATGAAGTCATCATTAGCCGCACCACCGGCTTGGCAGGCAAGCCGATAGTCTTCGAGCCATAGTCCGAGGTTTGTTTCCCTAGAGTACTTCGGGATGTTGGTTGGTGGCCGGTACCTTGGTGGGAAGGCAGCGTTGAGGATGTGCCGGGCGAAGGCCTGAGGGCCCGGCAGACCGAGGCTCAGACTCCGATCCTCGTCGCTGTCGTAGTGTCTGCCACGACGAGGATGATAGCCGTGGCTGGCTCCGTCTCTTGGATTGTCGTGGGTACGCCTACGAGCATCGAGACTGCTACGTGCGTCATGGTTACGACCAGGACGCTGATGCACCGGGACCGCGGTGCGCTGCCTACCTCCCGGTGGTGTCTGGTGGACCGATGCATCCCTGCTGAGACGCCCAGAGGGCGTGCATTGGCTGGCGTCGAGCTCGCATCGCCGAGACAATGAGCTCTGTGCCTGTAGCGCCGCTACACGCTTGAGCAGTGTGTGAATCTCATGGTGGGTCGATCCTCGGGCGTTGCGGCCTCTGGAAGGCCATGGAGCAACGCTGTGGCGGCGGCGATGTTCTGGCTCGCCCGGGCGAAGCGAGGAAGGGCTTCATCGTCCGCGATGATCCTTCGGTTTACATCATGGGCCATGGCGCGTGCGCGCCCACCGTCTCCGCGGCGTTCGATCTTCCGATCAAGCTCCGCGCATTCCTACACAAGCTAGAGTCGTGCTTCCTCGATCTCCCGCTGTTGGGCTTTCAGCTGCTCCACCCCCATGCGAGGTGGGGCCGCTGTCTCCCCTTCGGTTTTGTCACCGAGGTTGCCCGCTGGGGTAGCTTCCTTCGCGGGGACGCTTTCGACGTGTCCCTCGGGGGTACCCGTCATGAAGCATTCCTGGGAGGGGTGATGGCTTCCCCTGCTGGAGTCTGAGCCAGAGGACGACCCTAGGTGCTCTGTGAGGAGGTTGTGGAGTGATTTCATGACGTGTTCGATCACCCCCATGAACTCATTGTTCGCGGGTGGCAGGACCATGCGTCGTGCCATAAGGTGGCTAACGGTCGCCGCAGCGTTGCGGAGACCAAACAAAAACGCTATCGGGCGCTCCATATGTGGTGTCCCGGAGAGTGGGATCCTCCTCCAGAAAAACGCGCCATGTCGTTGGCGTCGGAAAGGGTGAGGCGGCGTTGGTCCTCCCTGGACTATTGGGGTCCAAGGGAGACACCGATCTGGCGCTCAAGCCTCTCGTAGTAGAGGCCGATGGAGGGGAGAGATTGGATGGTGGCGTGAGCCAATGCCAACTCTCCTCCCACCGTGATGATGAAGTCTAGGTTCCCAAAGCACACGTGTGCGCCTGGGACCTAGCCGATACCGTGGCTAGCCATCCATGGCCTGATGTTTAACATTGGAACACGCAAAGGTCCCCTACCTGGCGTGCCAACTATCGGTGTTTCGAGTAAACACCAACTAGTAAATTTATATTTGTTGCGCATTAGGCCCAGATGGTGTGCTAAAAGACACAAGGTTTATACTGGTTCGGGCAGAATGTCCCTACGTCCAGTCTGCTGCTGCTGCTCATGTTATTAGCACTAAAAAGGCTTGTAGTAGGGGTACAAACGATCGAGAGAGGGACATGTCCAAGTCTCTGATAGCAAGGTTGAACGAGTACTGAGAGCTCGGTTGCTTCTTAGCTGTGTGTAATGTGGTGCGTGGTGTGTCGAATTGATCCGTCCCCTTAGTGGGGTGCCCTGTCCTCCTTTTTATAGATCAAGGGGGAGCAGGGATTACAGATGGGAGAAAGCGGAAAAACCAGAGGCAGAGCAGGTCCTTCGAATGTTCCGGGTCTTTCTTTTCCTTTGAGTCTGTCCCGCTGACACGGCAGACAGTGCCAGGGATAGCACGTTCGCTGATCCTGATAGGGCCGTACTCTGGCTTCGTTCAGCAAGTGGTCACGTCCCGTCCTGTCCCACCCTGCGGGCGACACGACGCACCAGGGTGCCGAGACGCGACCCTATGGGGAGCAGACGGCGTAGAGGCCCTACGTTCGTACTGTAGATGACATGAGTTTCCTTCTTGGATCGTAGTGGTTGTCGTATGTTTCCGTCAGAATTCGTGTCTGAGGGCAAATGCCGGCGCCCATAACATTGTAGGATAAATGTCGGCGCCCGCAACACTGTTTGGGCTCTGACATGCCTGGAAGGGCTTAAAGCGCCCGTCTGGTCATATCCTGATGGTACTTTCCTGCAGGCGTGGAGGGTATGATCCTCGGTATTGCGGTTGACTTAAGTGTCCCGCCTTATCTGCGTGCGTAATTATGGCGAGGCGGAGTCTACCCCCGAATGTCGGGCGAGGCGTAGCCTGCCCCAGACGTCGGACGAGGCAGAGTCAGCCCTCGGACATCGGGCGAGGCAGAGCCTGCTCCCAGATGTCGAGCAAGGCGGAGCCAGCCCTCAGTCGTCGGGCGAGGCGGAGCCTGCCCCCAGACGTTGGGCGAGGCGGAGCCAGCCCTCAGGGGTCAGGCTAGGCGGAGCCAACCTTCGGTCATTGGGCAAGAAGTGTAGTTGCATTCTTATCTGTTCGGAACCATCAACGTTTGATGGTTATTAGCTTCCTCGCTTTGGGTACCCTAGTATTTGGTCCCCGACAATGGATGATTTTACAAATTCTTTGGTTTTAGTTTGTTATTATCATCATAGCTGTCATCGATCCGGTCGAACCTCACTGTTGATGGTAACAGATTAGATTCAGAGCGTTTGTATATCCATTCGTAATAGACAGTCGATTTGTTCGCATGTTATATCCTTTCTCGTTAGATTCATCTGTTCAATGTTTTACACTAGTAATACCCACCTAGCTGATGATTTTGCTTAAATCTGCGTGTATTGTACTTGTCAACATAAAATCAATAACGGTCCACGAGCTTTACAGTCCGTAAACAGCCGATTTCTTCGCGTATCGGCCGTTTAGTCGATTTTCCCGTCTGGCTGCTCCCGAAGCAGCAGCACACTTAGAACTGTCTGGGCGAAGACCGGCATATTCTACCTTAAATTACTGATAAACTTTCTCTCCTTGTCAATTGCAGGTCAAATTAACTGGCACGCCTCGGGAGAAATTCGCAGGGTCGACGGGTCCTGCAATTGAAGCCAAGCGGATCTCCGGGCTCATCCTAAACAGATCCTTCCAGCTTGCTGTGGGCCGGCGCATCGACACGTTTTTGCGCTGACAGTGTATAAACACTACTGTTCATCAATGAGAATACACATCGGTCATCTAATAATGTGAACTAAAACCAATATCTAGAAAGTGCTACTCATTTTATTATTAGACTACTTTTCAATTTCCCTCAATTCTTAGAACCAAACAGATCTTTATTTTAGATTAAGGAAAATGTTTCCGGCCTACACCATTCGAGGGAATGAGTGCAGTCTTGCAATACAAACTCAAGGATACTTAGAACCAAACAGAGCTTAAGATAATTCGATTTTGTATGACAATAGAAGTTGAGCTATTTTGAGACAGACGGAGTATATAAAAATGAAACTTGGTGATCGATGCGATTAGTAAGAGAGGACACGAAATGGAGTGAATCGTTGGCGGGCGTACCAAAGAGGGTGAGCTCTCCGTCCTCAAGCACCGGCACCTCCCCGAACGGCTGCAATCAGAACAGGGGAGACAGTCAGTAATAAATCCAAGCAGCAGGGGCCTAGAGCTGTAGCAGCAGCAGGCCAGCAGCACGCACGTTCCTGGCGACGTAGTCGGGGCGGCGGTGGTCGGCGGCCTCCCTGCTCATGGGGACGAGCTCGTAGTCGACGCCGGCCTCCTCCAGGCACAGCAGCACCCGCGACACGAACGGCGAGATCGCCCACCCGTACACCTTCACCGCCATGTCTTGCCTGCTGCTCCATCTCTTTATCTCCCTGGATCCTGAAGTGCTTGTGTTCTCCTGGGAATTGGGGATCCGTGTGGACTGTGGAGTGAATCGACGTGTGCTTGCCACTGCTCGCTATTTGTACTACGCGAGGCCAGGCCTCAGCACTCAGCGGGTAGCGAGAGAAATCAACCAGAGAACACCGGCACAGAGATGAGTACAGTGTTGGGTCAGCATGAGCGGCCCGTGACGTCTTCGCTTGCGTCATGATAATAGGGATATTCTTTCTAGAGGAGGAGCCTCGGTGAAATGGAAGTTATTTTTCGTGCTACAGTTACCGCGTGGTTGTACTGTCAGCACGTGATGATTATGAGATGGATAAGGTGATTAAATTTTGTACTGATATTTAGCAGTAATATTTGCTAACAAATTATTCGACTACATCTAAACAAATGTTTTCATCGGTAGAAACTTTAAACCAATAAGACTTTATAATAACATAATAAAAGTTCTCTCTCATTAGAGAATATATGGTTAGCAACAAAGCCAAGTGGTGGCTGGAAGATATAGCTATATCTATAATAACCAATCTAATAGCTCATTCGTATAATACTTTTCAATTAAGATATCTAACCACATCATTCTCTCGACCAGAAAAGATGAAACTAGATATATGTTCATTAATTAGGGTATTAAAGAAGAGATATGTGAAAATAGTTTCTTAGATAAGAAACCATGTCTACGTAGAAACTAAGACATGAAGAAATATGATAGCCGGATGCTATAGGAAAGACATATGGTTGGACGAAAAATTATTCCATAGAAAACTATGTAGGTGTGACAACCTTGCAGAATTCAATCTAGAAGACTGGAAGTACCCAAAACAAAAAGGAAGCGCAGTGATGGCTGCGCTCTTGTTTCTTCGAACGGTTATCGGTTGGCCGTTTCAGCAATCAGCAGTACTAGTCTTGAATGCCCGACGTCGTGATTGGTTGCGTCCGATCCGCGGTTGACCTACACGTTGCATATCTTGTGTATACGCCTCATCTCCCGAGTCCTTCCTCCGAACCCGTACTCGACGACAATAGCGTCTTTTTTTCCGTCGGAACCCATACTTCGATCGTGCAGCGCACCACCATGCTAAAACAACACAAAAATCCAGCCACGTCGCGCGTCACCATTCTGCCTACTTTTCCTTCTCCTACTTAATGCACGCCTAGAATCTTGAACTTTTGACTCCAAGATTAAAAAAATACAACCTAGAATACTCATTTAGGTCAACATCAGACATACTGATTACATTAGAGTGTGATATTGAGGTTTGCAATATTGCTCAGGTTACTACTTTTTAGAATTCTCAAACATGCATGAATTCTACTACAAAGTTATGAATATCTTAGAGTGCAAAGTTTTAATTAGAAAGTTTATGGCAAGTCATTAGAAGTTTACAATGTGCTAGTATTAGAGCATGTAACATCTGAAAGTATCAAATTCCCTGCATCCCAGAGTTGTTTTAGAATATACTTGCAACATTTCTGGAGCAGAAGGTGTCAAGGCTGCCAACGGCCAACCGATATCGCAACAATAGAATCTAGTGTTATGGATGACAATACGAGATCCAATGCTAAATTCAATGAAATCTGCTACAGGGCAATCTGAAATGTGATTAAATACATTTTTTTTGCTAAATGTGATGAAATACATTAAATTTGCACCTCGCTCAGTATTCATGGACAAAAGTAGCAAAAAGAAATGAAAGTTACACAAAGTACGGAGGAACGCCACACATGGAAAAGTAGTTAATAAGCACACAACATGCGTCACTAAGGCCCCGTTCGGCTTGCTGAAACTTTGCTAAAAGTGACTGAAAAACACGGTTCTGACTGAAATATTGTGAGAGAAAAACACTGTTCCGGCTGAAAAAAAGAAGCCGAACAAGCCGGATATAAGATAAGCCGGATATATATCACTCCTGTTTCTTGGGCACCCCGGAGGCAAGTGGCATGAACTCCGCCACCTTCTTCGCTGCTGGGCGGGCGGCTAGGCCCTCCCACCAGGCGTTGACGTGCGGTAGTGCCTTGACCAGTGTGGCGTACTCCGTAGCCATGAAGTAGTGCATGATGGTGAAGTGGCTCAGGTCGGCGAGGCTGAGGACATCGGCGGCGAGGTACCTGCTCTACGCCAGCCGCGCCTCGTACACCTCGAGCTCCTTCTTCAGCTTCTCCACGTTCTCGTCGACGATGACCTGGTTGCGTTCGCGGCCATCACTACTGGAGACGGCCTCTTTGGCGAGGGCCTGAGGCCCTCGGCAAAGGCCCATTAACCCTCGGCAAAGGCTTTGCCGAGGGCGGCCCTCGGCAAAGAGCTCTCGGGGAATTTTGAGTCGGCGAAGAGGGTCTTTGCCGAGGGCCCTTTATCGGGCACTCGGCAAAGCCTTTGCCGAGGGCTGGACCGGCACTCGGCAAAGAAAAGCAGCCGTCACGGCGCCGGCGCCAGGGACGGATTCTTTGCCGAGGGCCGTCTCCGGGGGCCCTCGGCAAAGAATTATTTTTTTTTTGAAAAATCTTTGCCGAGGGCCTCCAACCATGACCCTCGGCAAAGAAATGTTGTAGAATTTTTTCAAAAAATCTTTGCCGAGGGTAATGGGACGGCCCTCGGCAAAGAATTATTCTTTTTTTTTGAAAAATCTTTGCCGAGGGCTTCCCCGCAGGCCCTCGGCAAAGAAATTTTAATTTTTTTTAAAAAAAGTCTTTGCCGAGGCCCTCCAACCATGGCCCTCGGCAAAGAAATATTCTAGAATTTTTCCAATGAATCTTTGCTGAGGGCAATGGGACGGCCCTCGGCAAAGGACCCTTCTTTGCCGAGGGCCTTGGTCATTGCCCTCGGCAAAGAGGTAGAAATTTAGTTTTTTTTGTTTTTTGCATTCCATCGACACAAGCATTTCATATATATACATATATATATCAACCATCACATATATATATATCACACAGAACCCATTTTCTCACAATATATCACAACCATAATTGTGAACCACAAATCACAATATATTACAACGACAAGTCACATGTTCATCATCATTCACATGTTTATTACGACAAGTTCATGAAATCCGAGCACAAGTCAAAACCATAAACCACAAATATTACAATAAAGTCCAACCACATCACCTAGTACTAGTCCTCATCAAGGTAGCCTATGAGACGGTGGTGAAGGAAAGGCGGGATCACCCGGTGACGCACTACCGAGATGATTGGAACCCGCGGACGGAGGCTGCACAAAGTAGCAGAGATTGCATGTGTGAGTAATCCAGGAAAACAGTTTTGAAACTTAGAGATTGCATCTAGTAATCTAGGAATACAAAAAGATTAGACTCAATTGAAAATTTTGGCAGCACCTACCCTGCACGGGGAGGTTTCCAAAACCTGCAAGAAACAACAGCACGAACGCCGACATCCACAACGGCACGAACACCGACATCCACAACAGCATGAAGGCCGACATACATGCAAAGCACAAGAGAAAAGTGAACTTTCATACTTACAGGAGTAGCTGCAGGAGTAGGAGGTGGAGGAGCTGAAAACTGCACAGGTACACCCGATGCTTGCCCAAGACTTTGCATGATCACCATCATCTCCGCTATCTGCTTCTGCGTGGCCTCGAACTTGACCTGTTGGGCCTGCAGCTGTGCGGTCAGTTCATCGTTCTGCCCTTGACTTTGCCTTTTTGTTTCTTGCAGCTCGGCCTGCAATATTTCATTTCAATGTATCAGTAATGCAAATCTAATTTAGGTGTGTAAATATCAACGTACGACGAGTAAAACAGGAATTACCTAGAGTGCATGGACCTGCTGCAGTGCTGGAGAAGGCCGTGTGCGTATGGGCTGGCTGGAGCTCGTGCTCCGTGCTCAGATAGAGTCGAGGGAGGGAACAGTGGTGGAGTCGATGACGCCATATGCAATCCACAGCCGCCCGTGCTTCTTGCCTCCTCCGAGCCTCATGATCGTCTCTGCATCAATGGGCTCAGTGCGCACATTGTAATCTTCCCCATAGATCTCCCTTACCGAGGACGTGTACTCTTGGACTTTAGTGTACACGTTCGGGTCGGAGTACACCTGGGGCGGGGCAGCCGGGTCGAAGGAGACAGAGGACGACGCCCTGCCCATGTGGGACATAGCCCACGCAGAGAACTCTGAGACCTCCTCGCTCGGGTGCGCAGCCTCCTGCGAGAAAGACGGGAAGATGGTGAGAAATCAAGCAGAATTGAGCATCAAAATAAATTAAAGAAATCACTTACGTATGCTTGTTTGTATCCAGAGAGGCTGCGGCTGCCTTGATGGTGAGTTGGACCTTGCCTCATCAGACGCTGTTCCCACTGCCTCTCATGCGTGTCAACAAAGTCCTGTGATAACCACTTGTCCACGATCATGGCCTACTCGGGATACGATCGGCACCACCAGGGAATCACCTACAAGTCATCGAGTATTTGACATATAATAAGATGAAATTGAACCTACTTAATATCAAAATGAATCATTATGAATGTTATTCGCCTACCTCAAGGTACTAGTCCCGGGTCAGCGTAATCAGTCTTGCTTGAGGCTTGGGGAGGGTCTGCTTAAGTACCGACCTGTAGTAGTCTATGTGGGCTTGGACGTGCCCATGGTGGTGCATCTCGGTGACATACTTCCTACAAGCTGCGGCAGCCGCCCGATCCACCTGGGCCTCAAGTCCTTCTTCGGCCTTGAAAAATTTTTGCATATAAAACCGATGTATCCATTCATTATTTCAATAAAACATTTAACCAATGAATGAGATGTATTAAGCAATGTTGTGCGAGAGAAACTTACCCAAAACTCCGCCAATACCCACTCCTGCTTGTTGCGGTAAGTGTCATCCGTGACCAGCGCGTACCTATCCTAGTTGGAGGCCGGCTCCCGCACCACCGGCTCTTCGGACAGTTGCACAATGCCGGGGTACCATTTCCTGCACAAAACACCAAGGATGCTCGCGGGGGTG